ATATGTTACAGGGAAAGTGCGAAATCAGGTGTTGTATACTCTCCCTGGTGATTGTACACATTTACTAAAAAGACTAGTCAAAGTAGGATCCAATTCAATAAACCTACTTTCACTAGTGATTTTATACAATTACTGTTTGTCTCTAGTGGAAATAAAATGCCATTTGGTATATTGCACAACGTGACATAAACATAACCTAAAAGCTGTTGTAACGTGCGATTGAGACTGTTTTGTTTTGTTTGTGTGTGTTTTTCGTAGTTTATGTCAAATTCCAAACGATGTTTCTGCAAAAAAACAAGAAAAACTGTGCAATTCTAAATGTCATGGTTCATTGCCTTGTTGTCACAAATAGCATCTTCTTCATCATCTTCTCTATACCCATCCATTGTTACCTTAGAGTGGGTATATTACTTATCCATTAGTACTTCGATCGATACGTTGTTTTGAATTGTATGTATAATGCTTGTTTCACAATAAATTTTATATTAACTATTACAATTACTGATACGTTATAGTGATTGTGTAGAATACCTAGTGATTTTATACATTCTCTAGGAAATGTGATAATTCGATATTCTTTTGAACCCGATTTCTTACTTTCACGAGTTTGTTCAGTGAATGTGTACAATCACTAGTAATTTCATATAATCACTGGATTTCGCACTTTCCCTGTAACATATACACAACTATATACTTTCTTATAACTGAGCAAATTACAAAAAGTGATTAAGGGCCCCACAGACTTCCGACTTGTTCGTCCGATTTGCACGACGTGTAAATCGGATGGTACCTATGTCGAACAAGTACGACAGACTCCACGTACCTCGTGTTTGATCGATCGGAAGGCAAAAAGTCGGATGTTGATATTTTACACGACGTACAAGTACGCCCGATTTTACTCATGCACTTCCGATTTCTTTGTCCGATCGTGCCAACTGATATTTACACGTTGTGCAAATCGGACGAACAAGTCGGTCTTCTGTGGGGCCCTTAACGGGTTGCGAAAAGTGGAACAGTGGAACTTGTAACATCTAATTTGGCCGCTTCCAAAAATCGTACAGCAACCAAAACCCTCGCCAAAACCTTCACAAGAATGACTATGCGTATGTAGCTGTAAGGCCAGACAGACCAAGAGACTTGTCTTAAGACATGCAAGTGCGTTAATTAACATTAACGTGCATGTGAGAGTTTCAGCCACAGATGGACGTTGTTGCAGGCCTTCGTTAATTTACGTGCAATGTCTCTTGGTGTGTTGTTTCGTTAAATGAAACATGTTCATCACTCAATTCCTCAAATGAATTTTTAAACACATTCTGAATACGGTGGACAAGTTACGTCAAGGTAAAAAAAATGGCATATGTCATAAATTCGACTGGTTTATACCGCTCGTTGTAAAAACGAATGACATTAACGAATTCGAAATATTTTCGAACGGTCAAGAATACCATTCGACCAAAGTTCATCGTTTGGGATCAAAAAACGAATAACCTTGATAAATACGTAGGGTCAAGAATAGGACCCCTGATGTGTGAAAAAATATTTCGAGCCACGAGATCCCTCACTTCTACATATAGTACCGTTGTAAACTTTAGTATGCTGGATATCTTACATCGCTTAAACCGAATCGAAACTATTGACAACTTAACCCACGATCTAAGTGATACCGTTACTTCCCCAAGAGAAAAAAAACGAAAACTTATAAACCCAGATTCAAACCAATTTCTGGCAGTTACTTCTGAAAAAGATTTTAAAAATAAAATAGAAGTCATTGTGAATTCTGCTTTGGAAGAAGCAATTTTAGATACAAAAAAACTGGGAATAAAAGTTAGGAAAGGAATCTGGAATAAAGTATGTCATTCGAGTAACAAAAAAAGAACAGTCCGAAACAAAATCCAGACGCGGATTTCGAAAGTTAAAAAATCTACAGTAGAAAATATGTGTATCACGAAGGGTGTAAATGTAGGATCTGATGAAGAAAGTGAGAAAGATGAAGATGAAATATATATCGACGATGAGCAAATGATACTCGATCAAGAAATAAATGAAGAGAACGTGGATCTTGATGGACTTGATGAAAAAAGTGTAATTAATGAAAATGGTACACCTGTAGATTTCGAGCTCGATTTCGAGGTAGATGTATTTGACATTTCACTGTTAAGAAATGCTGGGGAATCATTATTGTTAAGGGATTATAGTGATAAAGGCAAAAGAAGCAAAATGTCAATAAGAAGTGGAAGTGACTTTTATAGCAAGGGACCATTTGTACGCGTATTAATCAAAGATAAAATATCTGTTGTCAGAAAAAGTTCTTTATGCTGGATGTTAAGCACAGAAAAACAAAGAGTAAGTTCCGATCGATTAAGAAGATTTTTTTGTGATAGTCAGTCTGTGATAACGCAGAAGAATAGTATGATAGATTCCGTTGTCAGAGTTGAAAAATCTGAACGTTTACGAATTGGCGACTGGTGCTTGTTCTACAATAGCGGTGTCAAAAATACTAGAAGCAAAAACACTAACCTCGACAATAACCATAAGTCAAACCTTGATAATTATATCTTCGGTAGAATTCTTTTTTTCAAAGATGTCTCAAAGCGAACTTCGAAAACAAAGTTAACGTGGGTCCAATCGAATGCCGTCGGAATAAAATGTTTCTGTACCTGGTACAACGTTCAAAATAATGGAAAATTAACACATTCATCGTCATTTCGACATGAATTTTACGATATTACCTATTATAGATTTTCGTTACCAAATCCGTCTGTGATACCGAACGAAGAGACCGATACCATGGATCTAGTGCTTGAAGACAAAGTGTTAAGTGATCTACAAAAAAAAATCGACTGTTCTGGAAATGAAAGCAGTTCCAGTGCCAGTGCTATTGTGGAATGTGACAATTTTGCTATCGATCGTAACACAACATTTGTGGACTACAGCTCGAGCAGTAGTGACAGTAATCAAGATTTGGAATTGTGGGAAGTTGACGACTCTGTTGACGATGACAACGAGGACTGCAGTTCTTCGGAAGAGCTCCCATGCGTTGACATCGCACATTCTTGTGAGAAAAAGATAGACATTAAGGTTGAAAATTACTACGCGGTATTTTATGATGATTCATGGTACATCGGTCGAGTTATCGAAATCATAGACAACTCGAATAGTAGAGTAAAATTTTTAAAAGAAAATTTGCATCAATTTCTTTGGCCCAAACATGATGATATACAACAAGTTGAAAATAAATACATTTATCAAGGTCCCATAACTTTACTAGGCTCTGGGCCTTTTAGTTTACCTGAAACAGTAAGAGACCAAATTACTAATAATTTTAAAAATATCAAGAGAAAGTATAAGTAAAAGGTAGATTAGTAGAGAATGTGTTTTATATAAAACTCTTTTCATGTTTTGATGTTATTTAATATGAGGTACGTTTTTGTTATATAAGAATATTTCAGGATTTTGTTAAGTTCATTAGTATTATATTATATTTTACGTCGTATATTACCTATACTATTGTTATTATTTTGCAATATTTTGTTTTTTGTACAAATTTATAGTAATAAACTCTTAATTCTTTGAGAGGAATCATTTTATATTTTCAGTTGCGTATCATTATTACTGAATTACGAATACAAACACAAACAAATTGCTAAATACTGAAAAATTATTGAAAAAAATCAGAAAAATTTGGTGGAAGTAGGTGGAAGTAGATGGAAGTTTGATGGAAGTAGATGGAAGTTTGGTGGAAGTAGATGGAAGTTGGTAGAAGTAGATGGAAATTGGTGAAAGTAGATGGAAGTTTGTGGAAGTATGTGGAAGTTTAATGGAAGTTGATGGAAGTTTTTCCAAAAGTGGAAGTAGGTGTACACGATTTTTATCGGCGGTTTACCCCTCGGTATGTACCTACCATGTTATTTAGCATTAGGGCTTTAATGATAATTCACTCGGTTTAACCACAGGCCAGTGGAAATTGCCATAGAAATAAGTAATTGTGGTAATAGGTTATACAAAATTGGTTAGTGGAGGTATATTCTTGGCCTTTGTTTTAGATTCTGATCATGTCTAAAGAATTAACAGACAAATGCCTTTTGAGCATTTCAACCCGACAAATTAATCGTATAATTAGTAATCTATCCAAAAAACATGACACATCAAATTCCGAACGAATAAATGTTGATAAGCAGGTTGATATTAACCCTGCCGGTAGTAGTAATGATGAACCCGATGAACCATTTAATAATGAAATACCTTTCGATACCAGAAGTGAATGCTTTATTGAATCAGGTAACGATGAAACAACTTTTCCTTCCGAATGTAAGAACGATGACCTCGACGATGACGTTAATGCATTAAATGATTCGTTCAATATGGCTGATGTTTTGTCTGATAGTTTACAACGTACTCCATCGTTTGCAAACGATTTAAGATTATGGGCGATAAAAAACAAGATTCCTCATTCTGCACTGTCTGAGTTAATGAAAATACTGTTGAAGCATAACATTAAATCTGATGAATTGCCCAGTGACTCTCGAACGCTATTAAAAACCCCTCGATCTACTGTTATTCGACCAGTTAAACCTGGGAATTATCTTCATTTTGGTGTGCGTAATGGAATATTAAATACTTTTAAAAGTACCAAATTTAAGGGCGATAAAAAATCCATAGCATTAAAAATAAATATAGATGGATTACCGATTTCCGACAGTAATAATAGTCAACTGTGGCCTATCCTAGGTTGTATCAACTCTATCAATATTATCTTTATTATTGGAATTTACCACGGTCTCTCCAAGCCAGTCGATGCAAATGAATTTTTAGAAAATTTTGTTGAAGAAATGAAAGTATTAATTACCGAAGGAATTGAATGTTTTGGAGTAACATTTTCAGTTTCTATGCATAGTTTGATATGTGATGCACCCGCGAAAAGTTTTGTTTTAAAAACAAAAGGCCACAGTGGATACTCCAGTTGTACAAAATGCATTCAAGAGGGCGAATACTTGGAAAATCGTTTATGTTTTCCTCAAATTAATTCCCAATTGAGAACAGACAGAGATTTTATTAATCAATCAGATGAGGCTCATCATACTGGTGTCTCAATTATGACATCAATTCCAAATTTTGGTCCTATCACCAATGTACCCTTGGATTATATGCACCTTGTGTGCATTGGTGTTGTAAAAAAAATGGTATCATTGTGGCAAAGTGGATCATTAAAATTTAGATTATCACATAAACAAACAAGTGTAATTTCTGACAAAATGTTGCAATACCGAAACCATATCCCGAAGGAATTTCCTCGTAGGCCTCGCGAAATTTCATCTGTATCACAATGGAAAGCAACGGAATTAAGACTATTTCTTTTGTATTTGTCACCATCTGCTCTCAGTGACACAATGAACTCTTCGATGTATTTTAATTTTCTTACTTTGCATGTAGCCATTAGAATTTTATGCAATAGTCAACTATTAGAAAATTATTCAGATTATGCTGGGTTGTTACTGCAGCACTTTGTAAGTTCTTTTCAAAAAATGTATGGCAAATGTTTAATTTCCCATAATGTTCATGGACTGCTTCATATTACCGATGATGCAAAAAACTTAGGGACTTTGGATTCATATAGTGCATTTCCTTTTGAAAACTATATGCGCCAGTTAAAAATGAAATTAAGGAAAGCAGATAAACCATTGCAACAATTACATCGGAGATATATGGAGCAATTTTCTACTGATATCTTATCATTAGAAACATCTCAAAACATGAACTGGACATTTAAAAATAAATATGATGGTGGGCCTCTTACACAGGGATTAACAAATGAAGTACAGTTTAAAGAATTATACACACCTGAGTGGTGCCTTAGTATAACTATGCCAAATAATTGTTGTAAAATTAATGATTCAGTGATACTTGTATGTAATTTTGTAATAATTCAGGAAGTTATGATGGTTATTGGGAAACGTTTTAAAAAACAGTCGGATGTCTATGTTAAACCTTGCCCCTCTTCACTTATCAATATATATTATGTAGAAAGTGTGTCAGATAAATTAGAAATTTGGTCCGTGTCCGAGATAAAATATAAATATGTTCAAATACCATTTAAAAATGGGTATGCTGTATACCCACTTCTCCATGCCGATAACAAATTTTAAATTTATAAATAGGACCCTTTATTTTACTTTTTCTGCACATAAATTTTGTTTAGAATAATTTGTCATCCAATATTGAAAAGCAATCAGAAAAACACCTGTTGTAGATATCCTGTATATAGTTATGCTGCCTTCAGTTGCACAAATGCAGTATCTATGTGAAACCCTTATACCATATTTTATTTATGAATAAACTCTTATTTAGAAATGTTTTACTACCTTTCTGATAAGCACACTAGATAGATTCGCTCGGTTTGCATTTGTTACGTACAACATACATCATATGAATTCTTTTCACTTCATGTGCTTTTGCTACTGAGGGCGGTATAGTACTCTTAATGCAGTAGCAGTAGGTGACGTTTTGTATTTCATAAATTCAGTGTTCTTTTCACTATGTTCATTTTGTATTTTTATGTTGGTAATGTTCTGTAAATTGCCATTTGTCTTTAGAACAACTTAGATATTATTATAATTATAGAATATTTAAAAAATGGAGAGCCAATGGTCTGTAGTGTTATTCGAAGACGGGCTACAGTTGGTTCCTACTGATTGGATTGTGGGAAACAGTTGCTATTGGCCCACGTTTACTAGTACCACACGGTACGAAAAAGCGGTTAAAAGCTGGGAGTCGCCAAATGAAGGATGGCCCCTTTATGAAATGCGCGTTTTAGGAACTTTTTGTAAGTGTTTTATAATTTCATTGCTATTTAAATGGATTTTCGTTTTTTTTAACTACCTACATATCTCTGTATTCAATGCTAATGATTTCATTCTAGCCTCATATGAAACCGCAAGGCGAAAACTAATAATAGCAGAGGAACACTCTGATTTGAATACAGATCATGAATTATCCAAAGAAAATCGGAGGCGTAAAAAAAAAAGATTATTTCGTCTAGTGAAGAAGAAGAGGAGGATTCTCAAGTTGGCGTTTTAAACATATCAGAATTTCCTGATCTACCTCAAGATATTCGGAAGAATGATTCAACTGAAGTTTCAGGTATTGTGTTTTTTTGTTACAATGTTAGTCCTTAAGAAAATGTATTCTATAGCATCCAGTTCAAGGAGACTTCTACTACAAGAATCTCAAGCACATGTAATGTCACGCTCACAGTGTTCCACGCCATCTAGTAGAAATGATGAAGGTATATTTGTTTATTACAATGTTAGTCCTTAAGAAAATGTATTCTATAGCATCCAGTTCAAGGAGACTTCCACTACAAGAATCTTAAACATATGTAATGTCACGCAAACCTGATGAAGGTATTGATTTTTATATATTTCCTTAAAGTACTAAAATCTATAACTTTTAGGGTTTGAGGAGAAGCTGTTTAAAGAGCTGTCTTTTATAAGGGTTCATTTAGTGAAAATTGGCCAACAACTGTCAGTACTAGAATTGAACATGAAATCTCATCAACTTCAAGATAATGACAAGAACGAGGAGAAACATGATAACTTTGAAGAGATAATACGCAAGTTTCCTTTGGATACCGAATTAGATCTAAGAAACATGGAGGTTTATCTTCTCAACAACCCTGATTTTAAGAAATACCTAGTAAGAAGTCTAATACATACATGAGAGTAGAGGTTATAGTGTATATTTTTTTAGATCAATTACTGCAGTCGATTAGGAGGACTAAAAATTGATCAAATCACCAAAATTATGTTAAGAAAACTAATTTCAAATAAACTAGCAGCCAACTACAGCTGGCTAGGAGCTAAAAAGAAGCAATCTTTCAACCTGCTGATTGCAGAGGTTATTTTATGTAAGGTTGACTAATTTTATACATTGATTGTTTTTTACGTATTGATTTAAATTAAAATGACATTTAGTAAAGTATATGCTTTTCATGTTTCAGGTGCCGTAAAGCAAAATAAGTTAATTGGTGAGACCACCGAGAAGGAAATGATTGACTCTGTAAAAAATTGGTTAAAACATGCACATGTGAGGTATACCAACCAATGGTAAGTTATTAGTCTAGTAGATATATAGCTAAAGTATTTAAAATACATACAGAATAAAAATAGTAGTTTTTCCACTAATTTTCTTTATATGTATTTTATACAGGGTGCCCATTATGTACAGAATATAGTATTTATCTCGGTAAATACCGACTGTATAAAAAATTTTCTATATAAAAGTTGTTTAACATTTTATTTTCCATAATAAGGCAGCATTCAATTGATTTTATTTAAAAAAACAAATGAGTAACAAAAAACAATTGAATTTTATTAAATAGCAATGTGCCCTTTCATTAGGCTCATTTGATAGAGATTTTACTGCTAATTTCAATTTGTCTTTAAGGTTTAATAAGAGAAGACATTCATTTGGTGTGTTTTTATGTAGGATATCTAGATTAATGTAATTACTGAATAAAGAGATTTAAATTTTTTTGAAAATTTTTAGCCATAGGGGTTCTAACATGTTACATAATAGAAAAGAGAAAAGAAATCTATATCAAACGAGCCTGATAAAGACGTGCATTGCTAGTAAAGTTGTTTTTGTTACTCATTTGTTTTTCGAAATAAAAACTGAATGTTGCCTTATTATGATAAATAAAATGTTAACAACTTTTATATAAAAAATTTTTTTACACAGTCGTTATTTACCACAATAAATACTTACTATATTGATTCCATACATAATGGGCACCCTGTATGTAATGATGACTATGAATTTGTGCCAGGCATCTTTAGAAACATATTCAACCATTCCAACCTGGTAGACAGAATATACGGTGGACACAAATGCCCCAATAATTGCGTAACCATAGCAAAATCCACCACCCGATTGAATTATCATAAATCTTCTAGTTACTTATATTAAAGCTTATTGTCCAAATTGCGTTTCATATTATATTAACTATGGAATGATACCCATGTATTTAAAGCATGTCTGTGTTAACGCGATTTTTTTTTATAGTAAACGGGAACAAAAGGGCGCAGAAGAACCTACAGGATAAGTTGTTTTTCTTTTTTATAAATTTCTTAATCTTAACTATTATATTTTATATTATTACTATTCTGGTTTTATACACATGAATATTTTGTGCTTTTTAAGTTGTAACTAATAAATAAATCATACATTTTTTTCATTTCTTTATGTGGTTCTATGCATTGCTGTATATCCACTGGATGTCCGTGGAACATTGTTAGTGCTATTTTTGATCCATATTACATCTAACAGATATCATTTTAAAGATTATGTACGTCTAATAGACCAACTGTATGGATATCTATATGTAGGTATATGGCGGGACATCTGGATATCTAGTATTCGTCCATTACATGTGAGGGGATATCCATTAAATATCATGGATATCCATAAAAAACATTTTTTAGATATCTTATGGTTGTCAGTGTGCTGTGTGGGTATATGATTTCCTTTTTACTGTTGTATAAACATTCCTACTTCACCAATACCATAGCCATAATATTGAATTACGTTAAAATGTCAACAATTAGTATTTAATTTTTTTAAATTTGCTTTATAAATAAGATAATTTTTTACATGATATACATATATGGATATCTTTTAGATAAATGACATTAGATACTGACTTTCGTAGATGTCCCTACAATATCCATTAGATAAAGTAAATGGACTGGATATCAGGTGGATATTATCTACATTGTTTAGATATCCAATGGACATTATGTGCTGTGTGGGTGGGAGTTGGTGACCTCACATCTGACAAACACTCTCGAGGTTTCAAGAAAAGCTTTGTCGACAGCATCAAGTTTCCTTGAGATGTCTCGCTCGACTGCAACCAGGGCCAACTATAACCCACCATCTGCAACTGGAACATCATGTCAACACGAGCCTATGTCAGCAAACAGACAGTGTGGTGTGGGGCCCCAGGTAACACACATGTGTACAATGGACGTACAATGGATATATCCATTAGACATTTCAAAAGTCCATTGGATGTACATATTAGGTCCTCAAACATTCAATGGATGTTCAGTGGATGTACGTTTGGCACTAGAATGGATCTCCATTGAACATCCGTACACTACATCCAATGGAGGTTTACCTGGGATGTAACATGGATATTTTGCCTAATAATAATAACAATAATATTGATAGTTTATTTATGTGTTTATAATAATACAGTCATTGATTATTAATTTTTGTCCTTCCTCTCCTTTGCACGTCTCAACCATTTCGCTATTGATTGCTCAAAAACCATTCTTGAGGATGTGGGAAATATAGATAACCCAGATTCTAAAAAAATATTGTCAACAAGATTTAATAACCCAACCTAAACTTACCAATCACTAGTTTATTGAAGTTTAATTTATTAAAAGGTCTTTTTTGTTTTCGACCATAATAACTAAAATTGTTCGCAAGTTGGTTAGTAAACAACTTTTCCATGGACCTTGCCACAAAATTGTATGGGACGTTTCCACCTAGTCTTAAAAATTCCAGAACCTAAATGCTTATGGGTATTAGGATTTAATAATGTAGTATTTAAACTCACCACTTTGTTGAACTCTGCTGGATTGTTAATAAATGTTTCAAAATCTTCTAGTGCTTCAATAACATTGAAGGGGAAGTCAAATTTAGTAAAAATAGTATCTGAGATTTCTACGGAAGGTTCAGCTGATAGTACCATTTTTTTTTCCATGTTGGCAAACCTTTCATTCATCGCATTTAGTAAAGCCATAATTATATTCTGTTTATGAAGTATTTTAACCAACATTCCTAAAATAGAGAAGCAATGAACCAACATTGTATTTTATAGTTATTTTCAATTACAAATCCCAAATAGCTATTATGTACTCTTTCGTTTGTGGCACTAAATTATTACATGCTAGTAAGAAGTAAGTAAAAAATTTGAATTAGTATAAAGTATAAAAAGAACTCAAATATAAACATACCTCTATTGGATTCCACACCCTCCAAATTTTGATCACTTTCTACTAATTTGGTAACTTTGTCGGAGTTATCTGGAGCTGGAGGACTTGTATCATCAATATCT